CGACCTTGGCATCAAATTAAGCAATAGTCTTCGAAGCCCGAGGTGAGCATCGAACACTAGGGGGCAGATGTTGTGTGTGGCTTTTTCGCTAAGCTCGGGTCAACGCGAGGATATAGCTCGACCCAGAATGGGCTCGAAAACAATGATTAATCGACCAAACATAAGCTGTCGAGCCGAAGCTCTACCAAGCATAAGCTAGTCGCGGACAGTTCAAGGAATCATTTAATCAACCTCCAGATTATTTCAAATCCTAGATATTACAGGAATGACTAGATCAACCGCAATCATTGCGTAATCACAATGCTCAATTGCTAGAATATTGGAATTGCGATTCAGATCAATTGTAATCCCCTTAATTTTGCTCTTTTCTTTGTACAAATCTTGTATATAAACCCTCTCAAACGAGGAGGAAGGGGTTGCAAATTTCACATAGGAACTATATTGTAAGCTCTCACGGCAAATACAAAAAGGCTTCAAAGTTGACCTCGCCGAACCACTTTAAAACTCCCATTGTCTTTACTTTTTGCATTCTTTTTACATACATTGTTGATTATTCTTAATCACGCACACATCAATTCCGATTCTGGCAAGGTCGATCGGATCTTGCTGGTTGGTGCAAATTTTTGTATCAACATGGCAAATCTCCAGTTTTTATCTATTGAATTGTCTTAATGCTTTCAGACTTTTTCCTGCCCAAATAATGGAGTAATGACACATACTTCTAAAATATCACTTTCTTATCCAAACGTATATTCGTTAGTTATTTCTATTAAATACAATGATATTTATTAGAAAGAAGAAAATACCCTTAACAAAAACTTTATCATTCCAACCTGCAGCTCTCACCGATTGTCAACGACGGCCATTGCTTTTTCGCACATTTCCCCTCTTTGCGGCCTTTTATGGGTGCATGTGACATCAAAAATTCTCCCTGATGACACCAATCGAACCCTCACCCTCCACTCAACAAAACCCTACTTCCACTCACCCTCTCATCTTGCCGTTTGCTGCTAGTGACTTGCCATTGTTGTCACAAGACAATCACATTTTGTGACCCCAACCATTTGAAAACAACCAGATTTTTGGCTACTTCCTAATGCCAAGCAGTGTGCGCACACTCGAGCGCGCACTTCAGCACCACCCTAACACCTAGGCTTGTGTGTAGTGGGAGAAGGCTGGTTGGGGTAAAAAATTCGAATAGGTGGGGTGGTGATGTCTAGAAAGGCTTGGATTTTGGTTGATGCAAATGGTCGAGTAGGTGTTGTGCGTCAAGGTGGGGAGGCTGTGGGGAAAGCTTGGGAATGGTGGAAAACCAGCAAAACACAATTTAAAAAAAAAAAAAAAAAAAAAAATTCTTAATACACACAACAATCTCCTAAAAATTTCCCTGCTAATCAAACTTCACAAACAACAAATTAGGTCGCAAATCGTGACTATCGCGTAGTGGTGAGTGCCGTTCGTGAACGGCAAACGACAACTGAGGACAGCCAATGGGCGGGTGGGTTTTGTTGAGGAGAGGATGGTAGTTCATATGGTGGTGTCAAGGGTAATTTTCACTGGCAAAATCGATTAGAATCTGGCCTTAAAGATGGGTTATCACGTGAAAGAGTAGTGGTCGTTGGCCATCGATAGGAAAGAGCAACGACGTAGGAATGAAAGGGTTTTGGTGTGGGTGATGTGAGGAATCTGATGGTGGGGTTGGGAGGTCTTGTTGATGCTGGAATCAAGCTAGATTTGGCCTAATCCGAAGGTCCGTTGGGTGGAGATGGGGTTTTGTTAATTGACAATCATGGCCTTATAAATAAAAGATTTTTTACCCTCCTACCTTTCTTGACAACGGAACTTACCAACGGAATTATGTGGTATTTTAAAAGTGTGTAGGTAGGAAAGTGTCATTAGGCCATTATTTGGGTGGGAAAAAGTTGTTTACTCTATATAATATTGCTAGACCATTAGTGTGATTTAAGCCTTCAAATACTGCTTCCAAACATAATGCTACAAGCATGAAATAAATATTCCAGACAAAGGACATTTTCTATACGCACAAATTTATATTCACTGGAATATTTTGTTGCTCAATAATAAACATTATTGAGAAATTTAAATGGAAGGACCAAATGAAAGATTTAAAAAGAAAACATAGGTATCAATCTGGAGATAATCTCCTTTTCTTTTTGTTTCTTTAATTTGGAACTAAAGAACATTACACTTTCGCTGTTTATGTCTCTAAAGAAGTTAGAAATCCTGATAGTTTGCCAAAAAGAAAAGTCACAACTTATTCTAGTTTCCACACTTTTTATTAGAATGGCTTCCCCTCCAAGCTAGGAAGAGGCCATTAGGCCATTATTACTAAATTCTAAACACCTAACCTCAATCTAAAATAGGCTTAACGACTTACACATATCCAAGGTTTGCCGTAATGACAAAGTGATACCCAAAAGGTTTTGAAATGACAAATAGGTACCTTCTATCATGTGCTATTAGTGATTTCCATTTGGTAATAGTGAAAAGACTAGAATGCCCTTCAAAGTTTTATATTTTAGTTTTTTATAAATTTAAAAATTTCTAAAAAACCCCATAGGTTTGCTAATTTAACTAAATACCCCAATATATAAAATTTTTATAAAATGACAAAAACACTCCCACCACCCGCAGTGCCTGATTCCGGCAACCACCGTTGGAATCTGGCCGAAAAATTGCGTTATGACACAGACCCGTCAAATCTGTGTCGTAGCGTGTCGATCTGGCCATTGAGGCCGCAAAACTCTCGACGGCCAGATCTGGACATAGATCTGGTCTTTTCCGGCCAGATCTAATGCCAGATCTGGTCGTCGAGGCCGCAAAACTCTCGACGGCCAGATCCATGGTGGATCTGGTCGGAAAAGGCCAGATCGACGTATTACGACACAGATCCGACGGGTCTGTGTCGTAACGCAATTTGTCGGCCAGATTCCAACGCTGGTGGCCGGAATCTGGCACTGCAGGTGGCGGGGGTGTTTTTGTTATGTTACAAAATTTTTACATGTTGGGGTGTTTAGTTAAATTAGCAAACCTAGGGGGTTTTTTATAAATTTTTAAATTTATAAAAATCTAAAATATCAAACTTTCAAGGGCATTCTAGTCTTTTCATGATTATCAAACGGAAATCACTAACAGCACATGACAGAAGGTATCTATTTATCGTTTCAAAACCTTTTGGGTATTACTTTATCGTTACGGCAAACCTTGGGTATCTGTAACTCGTTCTCCCATCTGAAATAACAATTGGACCGTTAATTTCTGATAAATCAAATTAAAGTATGCCATCAAAAATTATTCCTTTCTTTTTTGCCAGCTCTTAAATTGATTACTTTTTTACTTTGGAGTAGTTTATGCAACTCCCAACAACAGCCCACTTCTGACTTCTGATAGATAATTCATCAATAATAACACTACACAAACATCACTCCCTTACAACATCCCATTACAACATGACATGGTAGCTGACGTGGCAGATGCCACCTCATCTGCCACATCAGCCATATGCCATGTCACTTCCCTCCAAAAATTAAAAAAAAAAAAAAATTTCTTACAATCACAAATTCCAAATTTGATTTTCCCAGAATCCAAATCCTAAATCAATTTCATTTTCACTCAAATTCAAACCCTAAAGTTTTTCCCAGATTTCCTTTCAATTTTTAGCACAATCCCCAATCTCAGGCGAAACGCAATCGCCACCACAGTCACACCAGGTCGACCTCTACACCAGCTCTATTGGATATTCATCTGTCAGGTCTACGGAATTTCGACCACCTTGATTGTGTTGACCACTCTGGTTTTCTCCATCACCTTCTCTACTCTTCCATCAACGACCTCTTGAGGAGCAATTCTGGCCTTCTGCCTTTCCTCTCATTGCTCCCTTTCATCCGTATGTCCATCATATCCCTTATTTCTCTCTCTCTCTCTCTCTCTCTATCTCTTTTATTTTCTTAATTCTGATAGGATTAACAAAATCGAAATTAAGAAAATAAAAGAGAGTCAAAAATGGGTGGCGAAAGACTGCAGCTTCTCAAATTCACAAAGTGGAGAAAGACTTTCTCCCTTTCCTCTCACTGCTCCCTTTCATCCGTATGTCCATCATATCCTTTATTTCTCTCTCTGTCTCTGTCTCTTTTATTTTCTTAATTCTGATAGGATTAAGAAAATAAAAGAGACAGTAAAAAATGAGTGGCAAAAGACTGCAGCTTCTCAAATTCACAAAGTGGAGAAAGACTTTCTCCCTTTCCTCTCACTGTTGCAGTCTTTAGCCACTCACAGTCTGTCTTTGTCTCTTTTATTTTCTTAATTGTGAATTTCAAAATTTGTCCCCACCTCATTTTTTATTGAGAGATTGCAGTCTTTCTCACAGTCAAAAATGAGGTGGGGACAAATTTTGAAATGAATTTGTGCAGTCTTTCTCCACTTTGTGAATTTGAGAAGCTACAGAAAAGTTGATGTTTAGGACGGAGCTAATTTGTTCAGTCTTACGCCACTAGATGGAATACAGGAATAACATGCTTATTGATTCGTTTGGAGTTTGGAATGGATGGCAACTTGTTCGTGCTTTCCTGTTTTCATTACTCCTTTTTTCAAATTGAACTTCATTCCCTTAAGAGTTTAATGAAATTTATGATATGATAATGCATTTGGACCATTGATATTAATATGCAATTTTATGCTACTTTTTCTTGTGATTTGATTTACTCTTGCAATGAATGAATGGGAGATAATTGGAGTAAGTTGATGATGGGTACGGTAGATATCATGCATGCATGTTTGTGACATAAATGAAAACAAGAAAGCACGAAAATATTGAGTGAACTATTTTTGTTTATTTAGCTAATTATAGGTTTTATTTTTTGAAGCAGATTTTCAGTACTAACAGAATTTTTTATTAACTCTGCCACCACCACCAACCTCAACCACACCACCATCGTAAACTGTCGTCATTTGCTCTTCCTCTTCCACCACCACTCTCAAAGATGGAAGAGTGCAGTCAAAAAAGTTCAAAGAACTATTCTGCTCAATTCAATGTCGTAGAGGTAATTTAGTCTTTGCAATCTGTTTTTATTCGTTAATATGAATTTAATTTAATTTAATATTATTTATACCCTTTTTTAAGTATGATTATATTCTAATTCTGGTTATTATAATATCAATAAATTAGGATAATCACTTTCAAGAAATAGAAGATACAAGAAACGCAGAAGAGGATTGGGAGCCTAAGCCTGGAATGGTTTTTGATTCATTTGATGAGCTTTTACAATACTACAAAAGCTATGGGAACAAAAGAGGTTTTGAAGCTATTATAAGATCTTCAAGGAAAGGAGATGATGGAGAGTTGAGATATGCAACCTTGGCTTGTTCTTGTAGCGGAAAGTGGAACAGTAACTCTAGAAATGCCTTTAAAATGCATCCGGTGACAAAAACTGATTGTAAGGCTCACATTACTGCATCTCTACATTCTAATGGAAAGTGGAAAATATTGTCAATTGTCATTGATCATAACCATGAACTTAGTAGTCCTGGAAAAACAAGATATTTTAAGAGCAATCGAATTATACAACCGTATGTGAAAAGGAAGATTGAATTGAATGACAAGGCTGGGATTAGACCAAACAAAAACTTCAATTCCTTGTTAGTTGAAGCTGGCAGTGGTGAGAATTTGCCTTTCTTACAAAAAGATTGTAGAAACTACATTGAAAAAGTTAGGAGGCTACGACTTGGTGTTGGAGATGCTTCTGCAATCCAAAAATATTTTCTGAAAATGCAAAATGAGAATTTGAATTTCTTCTACATAATGGATTTAGATGAAGATGGTCGATTAAAGAATGTTTTATGGGTGGATGCAAGAAGTAAGGCCGCATTTAAAGAATTCGGTGAAATTGTGACATTCGACACTACATATTTGACTAACAAGTATGATATAACATTTGATGCTTTTGTGGGTGTTGATCATCATGGCCATTCAATACTATTAGGTTGTGGATTAATCTCCAATGAGGACAAAAAGACGTTTGTTTGGCTATTTCAATCTTGGCTTGTATGTATGTTGAATTGTGCTCCTAAGGCAATAATCACTGATCAAGATAAGGCAATGCAAAATGCAATCGAAATTGTGTTCCCTGGCACACGACATAGATGGTGTTTCTGGCATATAATGAAAAAATTGCCCGAAAAGTTAAGAGGTTATAGTCAATATGAATGTATTAAATTTTCTTTGCAAAATGTCGTGTATGATTCATTGACATGTGAGGAGTTTGAAGAACGGTGGAATATATTCATTGATAAATACAACCTTTATGATAATGGTTGGTTACTCGGATTGTATAATGAAAGACGACGTTGGGTGAAAGCTTTTGTAAAAGACACTTTCTGGGCAGGTATGTCTACTACTCAACGCAGTGAAAGTATGCATGCATTCTTTGATGGATATGTTAATTCAAAAACCACTTTAAAACAGTTTGTGGAGCAATATGAGAATGCATTGCGGGATAAAGTAGAAAAAGAAAGGGAGGCTGATTTTAAATCTTTTAGATCATGGATCCCTTGCATAACGACTTATGCTATTGAAAAACAATTTCAAGATGCGTATACCACTGCGAAATTCAAAGAGTTTCAACGAGAGCTAGCGGCTAAGATCTATTGTGATTTATCTTCTTTCAAAGAGACTGATTCCTGTATGGAATTTATAATAGAAGAAGATGTTGTGGTTGGAGAGACTCACCGTCGTGTTCCTTTTGTGGTTTGCTTTGATGAAGCAACTTGTGACATTCGATGCAATTGTCGATTGTTTGAGTTTAGAGGAATTTTATGTCGGCATGCAATTATGGTGTTGATTCGTAGGCAAATTTATAATGTACCAGAAAAGTACATTTTAAGGCGGTGGAGTAAAAATATAAACAGATGTCATACCAAGGTTAGGATAAGTTACAATAGTTGGAGCACCACCCTTGAAGGACAACGATTTGATCAGATGTGTAATTTATTCTCTACGGTAGCAGATTTGGCATCAAGCAATGAGGATGATTGTAATATGGTGATAGAAATGATCAACAATATGAAGAATAGATTGATGTCGAATGAAAGTGTTGGTGGGATTGGGTCAACTAGTAGGAGAATGAATTGTGAAGGTGTTGATGATACTACTAAAGAGGGGAGCGGCAACATTCTTACTCCACGGGCTGTGCGAAGCAAAGGTCGCCCTCCATTCAAAAGAAAGCAATCAAAACTTGAACAAATTGTTCGTAAAGTAAAAGAGAAGAAATTGCGAAAGCAATAAATTGATTAAAAAAGCTTGAAGGTGAAAATTTAGTAATTATCAATTTTGTTGACTATTTTATTATTCTTTTTTTCTATTTATTGATAACTAACACAACTTGTGTTATATGATTGTAGGATTGCTGGATTATGGTGGTCTTTGGTGCTGTGTAGTGTTTTTGCTTTGTAGGCAGGATGCATGAGCCTATTTTTTGATGGCTTTTGTTGGCTACTTTTGTATAGAGTTGATAAGGTCTATTGTGTATAGGAATTGTTTATCATTCTTTGCCCTTTTCTTTTTTGTTTCATTCTCTGTGGGCATATCTATTGTGTATAAGGATTGTTTATCCTTCCTTGCCCTTTTCTTTTTTTGTTTCATTCTCCTTAGGTATGCCTAAGGTGATTGCTCTTAAGGGGAGTCCCCTTTGTTGACTATTATTCTTTTATTCCTTATAAAATTACTAGGATTACCAAAACAAAAAAACAAAAAACTTAAGCAATGTATTGGATTTTGTTAAATGTTCAATGTGGATCTTGATTCTTATTTTATTTTTATTTTTTCTTTGATTTGTGATGCTGTAATTATGGGTTTATGGCCTACAATTGCCTGATCTTTTGGAGTTGACTGATCTTGGATTTTGTTAAATGTTAAATGTTCAAGTATTGATCTTATGGGGTAGGTAAGTTATTTATTATTGTGTTGATGCTTAAGTTGGTGTTTAAGTTGATGTTTCATTGTTCTTCATAATTTTGACTTGGTATCATTGCTGGTCAGACATTTGGTCAAAGTCGAAATCAAGCCAGATTTGGTCCTTAGTGCTGAGAAGGAACTTGGTATCATTGCTGGTCTTCAAGATCGAGTGGCACAAGTCTATGGTAGCCTTGTTTACATGGTATGTGATGTTCATGCATATATGTTCAAATGCTCATAAATCTGATGCATGTCTTTTTATTTATAATCTGATGCATATATGTTCAGTGCTGAGAAGGAATTTTAGTTTTCCACGTATTTCCTTTCTATTTATAATCTGATGCATGTCTTTTTTCTGTTTATAATCTGATGCTTGTCTTTTTTCTGTTGCAGTCTTTCTCAATTTGCTGGATGGGAAGCTTAGGCAGTTTCTGCTGCAGTTGCAGAATTTGAGAAGTTGCAATCTTTCTCCAATATGTGCAGAATTTGAAAAAATCAGAATTTGTGCAGTCTTTCTCCACTTTGTGAATTTGAGAAGCTGCATAAAAGTTGCTGTTTAGGATGTTAGGACAGAGCTTGTTAAATTGGACTTATTGTTTAGGATGTTACGATGGAACAGGCTGTTTAGGATGAAACTGGAGAAAAAATCAAATGTGGAGATATCATGAACTTTTATTTTCTTTCATGTGAATAATATATGGTTTTCATGTATTTGCACATGATGAGTAATACAATTCACATTCGTTTTTTTTATTTGTTCTTTTTGGTGCCAGAGATAAGCCAGCTCTTCCTCTTGAAACTGTGATGGTAGAAATAATGTATCATCTGCTTTTAAGTTAATTGCAAACATTAAAAATCCAGGTTTCTTTTATTTTTAGGTAAACATGCTAATTTTATTAAAAAATAAAAGAATTACATCCTAAAAATCGCACTCTCTTTTACACAGGCGAGGACCTTGGACATGCCCAAGGGACCAAACTACACAAAAAGAAACAAGAGCAACCAAGTATATACAATCCTTATACACAAACAGTAAGACTACACAAGACAACCAAACTGAAGCCTTCACCCAAAAACTGCAGAAAATTCAGCAATCACGCTGCACCTCCATACTTACCACTGTCCAGATCACTACTTCAATTCAAGCACACACCACCCTGCACATACTGCCCAAGACTCCTGGAAACTGCATAAACAATCCCTTTTACACAGGCAAGGACCTTGGACATGCCCAAGGGACCAAACTACACAAAAAGAAACAAGAGCAACCAAGTATATACAATCCTTATACACAAACCACCCAGAAACTGCAGAAAATTCAGCAATCACACTGCACCTCCATACATACCATTGTCCAGATCACTACTTCAATTCAAGAACACAGCACCCTGCACATACTGCCCAAGACTCCTGGAAACTGCATAAACAAACTGCAACCTGCACACCTGCTCAATCGACACAGTGCAAAAACTACAACATGCCTAGGCTTCTTATCCAGCACCCACCAATCTACACCAGCTGCACAGAAATCATGGCCTCACATAAAATGCAGAAATCTAAAGCAATAATGCATAGCCACAATAACTACCTGACAATCCAGCTGAAGCTTGGGCTGCCTCCATTACCTATTGAGACCAAACCAATTATATTAAGAACTATCACAAGCTTCAAAGTAACAATTCTAAAATCTAAGCTCCACACAAATCAAAAATAAATACCTGCACACCACCACCTAGACCATTTGTTTCTATATCATTGCTGGTTATCTGATTCACATCATCAAGCTTCGAATCAAGCTTAGGTTTATCATTTTTCTGATGGGTATCAGTGGCAGGTGGGTTTTCCCCATCTTCATTTATTTGCTTTTCTTGTATATATTCATATAAACTTCAATATCAATTAACGAAACACAAACATTTGATAAAGGAGTATGCTTTGTAGGGCCAAAACCAAGCCTCACGACCAAATTCAAAATACTTGCTTAAAAAACAATAACCATACAAATGCATTTCATCTGCATCGAATCTTAACAAAAAAAATTTGAACATTCAAAGAAAAAATCACCTTATCATTATTGCTATCTGGTTCTCTATCTGTCCCAGTTACTCTACAAACAATCTCTTTCTTCTTCCTGCAAAATATACATTAAACACAATTGCTATCTGGTTCTCTATCTGTCCCAGTTACTCTACAAACAATCTTTTTCTTCTTCCTGCAAAATATACATTAAACACAGTACTTCATTACTTGGGAAACCAAAAAAATAAATAAATTAAGAAACAAAACAAACTAAAAATGTTACCTTGAAAGCAAAATGACAGCGTTCCACGCGAGGAACATGTAAAGAAGCTAAAAATGGCTGAAGACGAACATGGCAGCAAGAACGACACTGGCAGCAAACTCAAGTTCCCGCGAAAACTTGCTGTGAAATTCATGTTTCTAATCGAAAAACCAGAAGCTTTAGTTGGATTGAAGCAACATTGAAAAGCTCGGAGATCTTAAGGTTTTCAGGGGTAAATTTGGAGATTTTTTTGAAATCTTATCTTGACACTGAACAACTTTCGACAGTCCATGAAGATAAGGGGGAGAGGACGAGTTGGAGGGGAAAGAGGGCTCAACTGGTGGCAGGAGAGGTCGCAAGAGAGAGAGAGAGAGAGGAAAGGAGATTTGAACTTTAGGGTTTGCAAATGAATTTTGGGATTAAGATTTGATTCATGGGGGTAACGGTAAATTTTGAAATTTAAGGTTAGAGAAATTTTATTTTTATTTTTTGGGGGAGTGACTTGGTATATGGCCGACATGACAGATGAACAGCTGCCATGTCATGTTGTAAGAGGATGTTGTAAGGGAGTGATGTTTGTATAGTGTTATTGATTCATCAACAAACAGTTTCCTCTCAAAATCTTTATTTGTCACAATTTCATTGGCCCAAAATCTTAACCCATCACCCCATCCATTCACAGACTCTACAGCCATGGAAGCTACTGCCACTACTGGGATGCCAATCGTTAACTTCCTCGCAACATCCCCAACCATAACAATAACTGTCCTAACAACCTTATCACCACCATGGCTTTCAAAAAAACCAAACATGCTCACTCTTTATGCTCTTAATCCCATCTCAAGAGCAAATGTCCTTTCTTTCCTCACTCGTTGCTCCACCAAACCAGACACCAACACAAACAATGAGACATACCAAAATCAAAACTTTCAACATAACTCATACTCAGATACCAACAATAACATGTCACCTACCGTTTCAAATGAAACACAAATACTTCCCTCTTCTTTATCATCATCGGTACCCCCTTCTTCTAGAGGATTAGTGCTCGATCTGGGTCCAAAAAATTCATGGGATAGTGCAGAAATTGGTTCACCAGTGGTTAAAAGGTTTCTCAGTGATGAAGAAGAGAGATGGTTCATGTGGTATCATGGGAATTCTTGTGAAAATCCAGATTCTGATTTTATTGGTTTAGCAATTTCAAGCAATGGAATTCACTGGGAGAGAGGTAAAGGTCTGGTGAAATCAAGTGATAAGGTGGGTTTGGTTATGAATTGTAGTAAAGATTGGTGGGCTTTTGATATTTTAAGCATTAGGCCTAGTGAGGTGGTGATCATGTCCAGTAATAAAGTGAGAGCCTCGAGTGCTGTGTACTGGCTTTATTACACCGGTTTTAGTTCTAAGAAAGTGAAATTCTTAGATGATGATTCTTTGGATTTGAATTTAGAAAATCCAGAAAGGTTTCACATTCGCAATTTGAGTGGTGAAAATGGTAAGATTTTCAAGTCCTTGCCAGGTTTGGCAATAAGCCAGGATGGGAGGCATTGGGCAAGAATTGAAGGGGAGCATCATAGTGGAGCATTGTTTGATGTGGGGTCTAAAAAAGATTGGGATTCACTATTCATTGCTTCACCACAAGTTTTTTTTCATGGAAATGGTGATCTAAGAATGTACTACCATTCATTTGATATGGAAAATGGCGAGTTTGGTATTGGCATTGCAAGGTCTAGAGATGGAATGAAATGGGTGAAGTTGGGGAAGGTAATGGGAGGAGGAAAAAGAGGTGCGTTTGATGAATTTGGGGTAAAAAATGCGTGTGTTGTGAGGAACAAGAAAGATGGGAAGTATGTGATGGCATATGAAGGTGTTGCTGCTGACAGGATAGGGAGTATTGGATTGGCAGTGTCAACGGATGGATTGAAGGGTTGGAGGAGGCTTAAAGATGAGGCAGTGCTTAAGGTTGAAGCTGAAGATGGATGGGATAATGAAGGAGTCGGGTCACCTTGTTTAGTGCAAATGGATGGAGATAGTGATGAATGGAGATTGTATTACAGAGGTCATGGAAACGGAGGGAGGACTGGGATTGGTTTGGCAATCTCTGAAGGAAGTGATATTGGAAGGTTTAGAAGATGGAAAGGATTTCGTTTATAGGTAAATGTGTTAGGCTATCTCATTTTCTTTTCCTGTTATAAGTCTAATTTAAATATTGTTTCCAAGTTGGTTGAACATTGTATGCATACTATCTAATGAAAAGATTGACAACATCATTGCTGAATGTTCTTGGCTTAAAGAACATCAAAAAATTTCTGAATCAGTTTGTTCTTGGATTTGTGGATACTGGCTTGTAAATTCTCCAAGGAGTAAACTGCTGCAGTTTTGAGTTGCAATTTTGGAATATGCAAATATTAACAGTAAGTGCATAATGCCTTTCAAATATCAAATCTAAAATGTTTGTTTGCTCCACTTACCCTTTAGCCATGTGCTTTTTTATTTTATCAGTTCACATAAAAAACCTGAATGATTAGATTCAATGCTAGTGGTTGCCATGACACATTATAGTAGATTAAATTAAGGAAGAGGACCTCAGCACAGTAGCGTAAGGCCTAATTGCCGAAAAGTCCATTTCTTTAATGCTGTATTTTGTTAAATCTTTTGGTCCAAGAAACCATGAAACAGAGAACTGAGTTATATGTCCAAGCCACAAGAAAACTACAGAACATCAATTCCGTCCATCTGAATGCGGTCAAACATGTTCTAAGACAGTAGAGATTAAGCTTAATATGATATAACCAGTGGCCATTGTTTCCAAGTGTTGGGTTGGGTATTGGATGATGGGTAGCGTATTTCATAATTACAAAGCACCTCATGTGACAGATGGGGTAATAGCAAAACATAAGTAACAGATTATAAATCTTAGGTTTCGGACCATACTATATTTATAGTTCAATCTGACAAATTTTCTCTCACAACATTAATATGACATCTTGTAATTGGTTAGTTCGTAATGAATTTTATCTATTTAATAATAAGTTTCGTTTATCCAAGTACGAATTAACCAATTAAAAGTTATTATATTAAAATTATAAGAGAAAGTTTATAAAATTAAACTGTAACACAAACTATGTGGTTTTGTTAAATATAAAAGTAGAGAAAATACAATTGTAAAACAAATAAAAGCCGCGGGATGAAATTCTCAAAAGAAGACAATTTAATGCTCGATGCTATATCGCTTATGTTACACTCCATGACTCTATCCCTTTTAATAGGCCATAAATCCAACGACTAATGGCGAAAATCAGAAACAAAGTAACAACTATTAGTCAATAACCACAAGCAAAGCCTAAAAACTAAGATTGAATAGACTTGGTTAACTGATAGACAAAAGACATGATCAACACATATTTCAACATCCCCTCTTTTAAAATGATTGTTGTCTAACATCAGTTTAATGAAAGTTAACTTGGATGCGCCCTCCAGAGTGCTAACACAAAGCAATTTCCTTGGTTCTTGAAATATAGCCATTTTGAGGAGCTTTGTGAATATTACTAGCAATCTGATCTTCACTTTTACAATTCATAAGATCGATTGCTCCATTGTTTGTGAGGTCTAGCAAGAAATGATAATTCACGTCTAGATTTTTGGAGAGCTTTATCGTTCAACTACTGTTACTATAATAGTAGTAGACCCTTCTTATTTCAAATGAAGCTCCTCAAAAATCTTTTGCAACCACATTGCTTTACAGACACACATTGATACTACGAAATCAACCCCTTTTTTTTTTTTATGTAAGCCACGCGGTGTCCCCACACCTGAAGGTGTGGGACTAATCCTCATTTCGGGGTTCGAGGGATGCCCTTGACCACGAAATCATATCCAAAAGACCAAGAATCTACTTGTGAGCCTATCATAAAATCTTATAGAGAAGTATTTTTTTATGTCATTTGCAGGCATAATCACTTTATGTAAAGCCAAATAAATGACATTTCTCCTTTTTTGTAGAGCAACCCATAATTGATGGTACCTTGCTAATACCAAAGAATTTTTTAGCAACTAAAAGACAATGTTCTGAAACCCGACCTAAGGTGTCACCCCACCAAGGGCCAGATCCTGGGTTAACTGGTCCGACTAGTCTAACCAATAGTTTAACTGGTGATCAAGCAAGTTTGAACTCTAGCAAACACACATTTGATAAATACTCATCAGTCCCTACATGTTTGAAGTCTAGCAAACACAACTTTGTGATATGGCCACGTGCAAATCGGCAGTTGACTAGTTGGATAGTGGCAATACATCAGGGAGAGTGGGGTTCGGATGTTGCGTTTGGGCGAGGAAGGCGTGCGACAACAATTGTGCGCGGTTGGTGTCTTGCGATGGGGGTCAAGTGAGGGGGGGTGGCGGTCAGGTAAGGGTGGGAGGTGAGTGGGACGGGGCAGGGGGCATTAGAAAATGGCCAGAAGTGGTTGGCAGCCAGGTTAGGGATTTTTAAATAATGGACAAGATGAATCTTCTTTGGGCATTCCATGTATCCATTGAAAAGGCTTATAACATGCTTTGTACCTGTTTAAACTATATTCAGTTTCATATAATTTGCTTGTAAGGAGTGTTGCAATCTTCATTTGAAACCTCTGTAAAATTTCTTACATGTGTATCTTTTGACAAATAAAAATTCCAACAATAGATTGCAAAACTTTTATGCCAAGAAAAATGCATCATACCAAGACCAAACATATCAAATTCAACTATCACGAACACGAAGTCCTTAAAATTTCCGAACATGACCCAATCATTCATAATGTGAATCAGATCATCTACATATAAGCAAAATAGGCATTTTCTTTCCATCCCCAATTTTTATAAAGATTGTATGTCCATACGGAAATTTTTAAATCATTCCTTTAAAAATTAAGCTTCCATACGAATATACTAAGCTTTTGGTGTCTATTTTAATCCATATACAAAGTCTCGTACAAAAAGAATTTGTACAAACTAACGTGACACGTCACATAACATGTCACGTGACATTAGAGACCACATAACTTAATGTCATGTGAACTCTTATATCACATGATACTCACTTGATATGCCATATAAATTTGTAAAAAATCTCTTTATACAAGAGTTTATACAAATAGTTTTACCCAAAAATAAAACTTTCTTTTGCTTATAGCGTTAATGCTCATTTCCAAGCTTCACATAACCAGGAGATTGAGTCTCTATGTACAAATGCTGATTTCACGTCTAACAAGAAAACAGTCCATGAGTTTGTACTTTATTGCAAACGCATCATTAGTTTGATTGTATCATGCCTTGTGACAAGAGCAAAAATTCCTTTATAATCAATACCACGAACACTTTTTTGTAGCCTTCAGCTATGAAACATGCCTTATAATTTTCTACTTCATCATTCTCTTTCAATTTGTTTTGCACACTCACTTGATACCAATTGTTTTTACTTTTTGGCCCTTTCGAGAGCTCAGTCAACTCTCTTTCTTTTTATGGCTACAATTTTATCATCCAAGGCCTTTAGCTACTTTAATTTGTTGATAACTTCTTCAAAAGCTATAGATCAAATATGAGAAAAAAATGTCAAAATGTGTAATTGTGGATACTATGGATAGACGCACAGTCTTAAGTTTGATTCCTCATCCGAACATTGGTGATTTAAGTAAGAGGTCGTGACGGTAGGTTGTTACATTAGCTTTTCTTGAGGATTAGTCAAAGTGCTCGTAAGTTGGCTCGAACACCTTAGATAAAAAAAAAAAAAAATGTAGGTGGTTCCTTTAATTGATCAATAACAGTTACCTCATAATCTATAATTTGTGTCAATGTTCTTCTAGCACATTGAGGTGGTTGCTCATTATCTATTTCAATAAATGTTGGAATTGGTTGTTGCTCATTCTCCACAAGCTGTTACATCTCATCTTCATTTCTCCATCCGAATTAACAGGATTTATTTGACCAACGATATTGTCATTCCAAGACCAAAACTTTAACTTTGCAACAAAGAAGTTTTGCAAGGAGATAGGTAGAAACAATATAAATTTGCAGTTTGCAATTACTTCTCAATTTTTTTTTTTTTAATATAACTTGTATTTTAGTTTTTACAGATTAATCCTCAAAAAATATCTCAATTTCTAGACTGATGTATCTATCTGAAGTTTTTATAAGGCTACATTGTCCATTAGACTGATGTATCTCAATTTTTACATAGTATGAGTGAATATTATAAAAATTATGAAATTTGTGGAATGTTATAAGAAAAAAATTATTCTTTAAACTTTTAAATTGAGTGTTTAAAACAAAATTAAAAAAAAAAAAAATTGAACTACAGTCTTTTTAGTTTAGTTGTGGACCTAGCATAACAATACTTTATTAATTCCGAGCACTCTGACCTAACAACGATTCAAACTGTGCAAGTCAACTCACGAAGCTTTATGCGACCTCGTTTGCTCAACTTTGCAATCACTTTTGGGCTCAGGCCCAATCCAATAAGCCTAAATAAAAGGACGAAAAGTTGGCACTTGATACATAAACAATATAAACTGTAAGATCTTTGGTAAGCAAATTCATGTTCATACACGATTTATGCTAGTAATTTATTATTTTGTTTATATATGATTACCATTTAACGAGATTCTAATTTGCACTGTTTAAATATTTTATTGAATAATTTGAAGTCAATTAAGTATTAGTTACATGTAAATGTGGACGAAGAACAAAATAATAGATAATTCATGGAGACAAGATACATACAATTAGGTATTATCATATACATTTGTTTATGTTTAGAGGAAATTATATATTCCTTGATTTTGAATAGTACATAATCAAAATCCGAACCAAATCTCTCTCTCTCACAGTTGTATAATTGAATTGGACCATTTACTAATTTATAATTATTGAATGAAATAAGTCAGACTAACTAAAAATATTTGTATATCTAGAGGTTGAGAAACAGGGTTTGAGTCTCTCCGACTTTGATCTGGGTTTATATATGAGTCCCCCATTTTGGGTTTAAAATCCGGAAATATGGGTAATTCCTGAGCCCCAATTGACCGAATAATCCCAAGTATCCAGCCTCGTCGAGTTTGTTTGCCATCTCTTTTTGTAGTTTATTTTTTCCTTTTGTATATTTATTTTTTTCTCATTCTTTTCAAACACAAATGGTAGGGAAATGTTTTGGGCACCATTGAAACAAAAC